TCTGATACCTGTCAGTATAATAATAATAATAATAATAATAATAATAATACATTTTTGTATAGGGCTTTACAAGGACTCAACATCGCTTTACGATATAAGGGAAGGTTAGGGTGGGGGGTATAGGAATATCAAACTTGATCAACCGGCATGGATTGGATTCATGGAGGGGGGCTATGAGTAGACAAGAGGAGAAGAGATGAGTTTTGAAAAGGGACTGGAATACTGTGAGGGTCTCAGAATAGCAGAGATCTTTGGGACAATATGTTCAATACATTTTTTCTTTTTTTAAATGTAAAAAATATGTAATACTAAATATTATACTAGTGATTTTTCTTAACCAAAATGACAAAAATGGCATAAAAACACATATTATTCTAATACGGGTCCTTTTAGACCCACTTATGGAAGAGTGTAGGGTCCAGTCACTCTAAGGGCATCTAAGGGTTAAAGATCTGATGTGCCTCACAGAGCTGCGAGCATGGACACAGTTTAGTTTAAGGATGTTTAGTAAAGTAATAAACGATAAGTATTTTGGCTACAGCTGGATAATAGCTTCTTATCGTACTGATTTTAATATAGATAGAGGACCGTCAACATGTCTAACAAGTCATGGTTTTTTCTATCTATGGCGGCTGGCACACCTAGAATCATTTTATGACTTTAGCTGTCTTTTTTATAATTACTTCTCCGTTTTATTAACGCTTAATAAACCTAACTTTGTAATTTCTCACCCCATTTCCTTCTACCTTTTAATTTTCTTAATGACACACTTAAATGTTAATATGACTTCCCAAGGGTGAAGTGCACTAAATAGATGAGAGACGCCTTCAGAAAGCTTTCAGGTTAGCCTTCCTTTTCTACTGTTTCTCAGTCAAACCAAAAGCCCAAGGGGAAGTTCTGTACAAGCTCAGTGTATCTAAGCTTTAAAACGCGTTCAAAGCCAAATCAATTAAAAGCTGCGTGTGCCCGTCGTTTAAATGGACCACAAACTTGGCTGTGACCTTCACAGTTAGAGAGCAGCCTGTCCGTGTGAGTGTGAGTGTGGAAGCTCTTACAGAGTGGGAGCAGAGTCCTGTCTGAGCCTCATTGTGGAGCTAAGGGGAGGGCTGCTGTTGCTATGGAAATGGACTGGTGGGGGGGGGTGCACAGACCAAAGACGAGGTGGGAGTGTGTGGGATGGAAAGCATGCATGCAACAGCTGTATGAATAACAGTTTTGATGAAGCTCATTTGAATTTCACTGTAGTAAGTCAGTAAAAACATCACTTTATACGTGGTAATGTTTCTGTGGGTGAAGATGGTGAATTATGGGATGCTAATGGAAAGCTGTCAGCATTATAGAGATCAGCAGGAGATGTGCTGCTGCAGTGGCCATTTCAGGTTGGGTGAATTAGACATGTTTATGATTGTGTTTTTTTAGATTGAATCCTGTTACTGTGAGTAACCTGGTTACGGGAGAATGGATGCAAGGACGTGTAGCTGCCTTCAGGAAGCAGTGCTATAAAATAAAATATTAGAGAGGCTATACTGATGTTTTATTTAGGGTTAAAGCAACTCCTATCAACATTTTATGAATCTACTTTCTGCATGTATTGTGAAAGGCAGGGTACATATAAGAATGATCACCTGTATCTTACCCTTCAATTCTCTTTTTAGCATTGTTTCTTAAGGAGTCTGTACCGACACCCTTTGTTTTGGGTCAGTCACCCTGTTCTTGTCAGCGTTGTTTAGTGGCACATTTTAAACGTTCGATAGGCAGGAGTTTACACTAAAAAAGCACTGAAAAATCCACAGTATTGTGCTTTTTCGTAAACATAGGAGCATCTAAAGTTTGCATGTAAAGATATTAAGGTCAGGAGGAGGTGGAGACCAAAACAGAGCTAACAGGAGCGTGAACATTGCATTTCAATAAAACAAGTGGAGATTCCAAATAAATGCTAATGTTGCTTCATATATTCTGGATGTTTTAATTGACAACTGTTTGCTAATACGTTCCTAACAACAACTTTGTCAAGCGGGTGATATGTGATTGTTGCGTTTCCAGCATAATTAGAGCCAGCAACCAGAACAGAATGTTTACTCACTACAGTCACCCTGGGAGTTTCTCAGTAACTCTGGTGTGTTTACCAAGTTATGCTTACCCTGAATATGACTTTAGCTCAAGTTAGATCATCTGTTTAAGATGCATGACAGCACTGAATTCAAATCACCATCTGGATTTGTCGCAGCAAAATACATTTTAAACTCTAGCTTTGCCAACAGCTGTAAACCAGAATGTATTCAAGACCTCATAGTCAAATGAAAAAGAGAGATGGCATTTCATATTCACTACTGACTGAATCCACTTGGTTAACTGGATATACAAGTTCATCAAATGTGTGGCATTTCCCCGTTAGTTGTGTAAATAATTGCTCAATTGCTTGGGAGGAACGATGAGCCGTTTGTGTCTCTGGGTGTGTCTTACTCCCAGTGTTACACAGCGTTTGTGTCATCGCTCAGTTCTGCAATCGTACACAAATGTTAAGTAACTGAAATCTCTCATATCGGTTATTGCTTTTGAGTCTCTTGTCGTTGAAATGTGCCGTATAAAATCATTTAAAATACATTTGTCCGAGTCTCTTCTGAGTGTCTGGACATGCGTGGGACTATACAGAATGATTGTTTTTCTTGCAGTGTTGCTTCTCTTCTCACTTCATGCTGTTTGCAGCCTCTGCTCTAACTGGAGGTCCTTTGGGGCTAAATCTGCCGTTTCCAGCTCTAGGGGTTTTAGACTTATCTCTCGTTGCATGCACCTCCCTCCGGTCTCCTCCTCTCTCTCTCGCTGTGTCTCTCCTTTTTATCTCGCCTCCTGTGAAGCTTTCTTCAATCGGCTCTGTGATGACTCCCTCATGAATGTTTCTCTTTGTTTTACACTAGGCTACACATCACTCCCCTCCCTTCACCTGTCTGTTGCTCTTTTCATTCTTCCCTACCTTTTATAGTCTCGTTTTGCATTTTGCATTGTGGATTTTATTAATTGAAAAGGTGTGAATTGTTCCTTATTCAGTGGCAACAAGAGACAGTGGGTGTTTCTCAATCTCGAGTAAAGCTGCTCCAGAGCCACTATTTCAAGCATACTACATCATCGAGTGCCGCCGAAGGACTGTTCCAATGTCCAGCATACTTGGAATTTTACCGAGCCCGGCGTGCTTCGTTTGGAGAAATGTCCCCACAATGCTTTGCACACAGACCAATTTCACAAAATCTGTGAGAAGCCCCTCACTGCAGTGCCTCAATGAGCTCAATGTCATTGAGCTCATTGAGGCACTGCAGTGAGGGGCTTCTCACAGATTTTGTGAAATTGGTCTGTGTGCAAAGCATTGTGGGGACATTTCTCCAAACGAAGCNGATGAGCACTCTGTCCCATTAGGCCTTTGCATTGAGTGTGTGACTGTGTGTCCGGTGTGTGTGTGTGTGTGTGTGTGTGTGTGTGTGTGTGTGTGTTGTCTCCTGCCTCATTGCGTGATCAGTTCGAATACCTGACTAAACTAATTGGAGTTACAGCATGCATGGGTCAATGACCGAATCCCCAAACATTGTTAAAAAAAACACTTAATGATCTAACCTCCCATATTACTGTAATTAGTATTTGTGTTTTAGGAACAGATACAAATAAAAAGGCCTGTCACGTTCCTAAAAACAGTGTGATAACACTTTAATCGTGTTTTGGGTATTAATGTTTCTGAAACAAAAGTGAAAGTGAATTTGTTTGAAAACTAGAGAGAATATGAATTTGGCAGATCTTTGGGTTACAACCTGTGTGATAAATGGGTTTTTGGAACAATGATAAACACAATTCGATATTTGTTCTTTATATTACTGCGAATGAAATAGGTTAAATATTTGTGGCAGATAAAAAAATCTGATTAAATGTTTAACAGAAATCAAATCCTAATAATTTCCTCACGTTTATATAATATTTCGATTGCACTACCTGAATCTGTGATCACATCAAATGCGAGAAAAGCTTTGTGCTGTAAAAAAACTCAAATGGAAATATGCCAAAAACACGACTTGTTCAAAGTGATTTCATATTCCAATGCCTTTTGTTTAGCTTTGAAATAAGCCTATACTTTTTGTTTGCAGGGATAAATAGATGGATGATAGATTCAAATGAAACAAAGTAAGAGAAAAAGGCTAAAACGCTCTTATAATGGAGACAAACACACTGTAATTCACCTGAAAACTCGCTTAATAATGTCCTAAAACTGTGAGAGCTCCCTAATGTCTTTTTGCATGATTTGCCTTGAATGCTGAAATATTCAAACGCCACATATGAAGATAATAAAAAGAAAGACAAGCCCACTAATGCCAACTAAAAGCCTTTCGATCACGCGTAGAAGCTGCTTCAATATCATTAAGAAAATTCATGGGTTCAATATTTCAAGCCATTACAGGAATGGAGACTTTCATTATTTACATTTTGTTCTAACTTGAAGGTCAGGCAGTTTTTCATTCAGCCAATCAGCGTCGCCTCACAGCAGCAGGAAGCGGAGGCCCTCCCATTAACACCCCTAGTGTCAGCGCTAATGAGGGACACAGTGGCTTCTCTGTGCTCCCCAAACGTGAAGCGCACACACCAACACACACTCAGACCCTTTATATGCGAGTGTGTTTTTTTGTGCTTAGATATTAATGTTGGGTGTACTCCAGAAGGATGATGCGTAAAGCTCCTGCAACAAGTGTTTTGTATACACAAGAGGGGATTTAAATGCGAAAAAAAGACACAAAACCATCCCCATGGCGCGTAATTGAATATTGTTATAACCAAAACATACTTTAAATGTATTTAGTGGCTTGAAGTTGTTTCGTTTTGAAACCTAAACAGTAGCCTCACCCCATAGCTTTATAAGAAATGTTGTTGGACGTAGGCGTATTTAGACGTGGCGAAGCAGTGCGTAAGTATCCACAACTTTTCTTATTCGAACTTTATTTGGAGACCATACTGCATCAATATATAGCCTAGCCTACATAGACGATGTCCTATGTTGGTAACATACAGGTTTATGTTGGATATAAAACAGATGGAGAGTTAAGTGACCCATATGCCCATTTTAAAATGATAGCCGATAGACACTTTGGATAAAATAAGCAATAGTTGTGCTTTTCCCCCCCAGAATGGACTCTCAATAAAGAATCTGAAATGTACAGGAAACATACAACACCAATACATAGTGTGCTGGAGTTTATATCCTTTCGTGATTTGTAAATAAACAAAGAAAAAACTAATTTTACGCACAAAAACCCAAAATTGCTGCACGAGTTGTGACTTTAATATAAACACGCTGTTACTGCAGTGCTATGCAAGTTGGTGTATAAGTGATGACGCACATAATAAACACAAAGGGGTTGGGCTCGTGGAGCAGCAGATTTGAATGAAGCGCGCGGGGGCTTTATGGCTGCTATGAAATGTCAGGAGTGTTCAGGAGAACCCGGATGTGCCGACAGGCCGATCCACTGTGTCTACCAACACGGGGCATTACCGTTTCTTGTTACGATACAAAAACACACACAGCAAATGGTTTATACTGATTTTGTGAGCTGCACTGGAAGTAATGAGGTATTCATTTTTAATTTAATATGTCAAACGAGGTTGCTTTTTTCGCTTCCCTTCTGTTTATTTATTTTGTGTTCTCATTGCTGCTCAGGATAGTCAAATGCAACCATTACGCATTGAGTAACCGTTCTGCTTTTATGTCATACACCTTCCAGATAGTACAAATCATTTTAAAGTAAATGTTGACAACATTTCAACTTTTTATTTTAAATACCTGGGCTACATAAATGATCAGGCCTAGATACAAGGACTCATTTTATTCCGATATAGATATTTTACATGTTTTGGGAAATTTTGCATTTGAAAATGTGATTGTGAACAAGCCACGTGAGTGTTTGGGCGTGGCAGCTCTTCTAATCCTCCTCAGTGATTGGCTGAGGAACCAATTAAAGACCCCAACAACACCTGTGACTTTTTTCAAAAGGTTAGGCTACTTTTATTCGAAACGACTAACACAATTTGCTTGAAAATAAATAAAATACATAAACTTTGTAACTCAAGTGTAAAGATATCCTTTAAGGCTTTAGTCACCAGAGGCTAGGCTAGTTAGCATGTGACAATTGTTCTGCTAAGTAATTATCAACAATGTTCGTTATAGATTTTTTTAAAACGTCAATGTAATGTTTGTTTTCATTGTTGGTGGAGCTTTTAGCAATGGGTTTTCCATACACTTAAGACCAGTCAAAGTACCAATACATTATTGTCAAAATACATCCTTACAAGTATAATCCTGCATTCAAAATGTTACTTAAGTTAAATCACAAAAGTATTATCAGCAAATTGTATTTAAAGTAAAGAGTAGGCCTAAAAGATGTGCCTTTATGGGTGTATATATTTATGTAACATTTCCACATTGTTGCATCAAGTAGCCTAGCATTTAACTGTTGTAGACAAACAACGTTCCGATTGACTCTTTGGAAAATGTTTAAATAATGTGACTTAAAGAGTTCGTCCACTAGTTTAATTCTGAGAGATGCATTTAAAGCAGTTAAATAAATGTAGTGGAGTACATTTACATTATTTCCCTTTTCAAATGGGAGTAGAAGTAAAGCCGACAATGGAAATACTCAATACCTCACAATTGTACTGAACAGTACTTGAGTAAATTCTTCCTCACCTGAGTTTCAGAGAGGTTTAGCTGCCTCGCGAGCTCGGTGCGCTCGCGCCCCACCACGTACTGGCACCGCTGGAACTCGAGCTCCAGCCGGTACAGCTGCTCGGCCGTGAAGGAGGTCCGGGTCCGCTTGGGCCGGTCCAGGTCGAGGCCTTTCGGCAGGACGATCTCCCGGATGGTGCCTTTAGCGTCTGCGAACAAAAACACAACGAACAGTTAGACGTGGATTTTCTTGCTGTTTTTGTTGTAGAGATTTGATTATACGATATGCTTTTATTTTGAAGGGGGTTTTGGGAGACAGTGGGTGGCGGGATTGGCGCACAAAAGATGGCAAATGGTTATTTACCGGGGTAAGCACCAGGATATAATAACTGTATAGCACTGTTCGGTATTGGATCATCGAAATACATGCACATTAAGGATGGAGTTACATTTTTACGTTTATCTTTTAAGAATTTCGCCGCTACAGAATATAAACACTCAGGACATTATAACAAAATATAATATGAGTGGTAGGCTATTTTACAGTTGTAGGTTATAAAAAAGGTAAACACAAGTTTCTTTGAGGTGGTTTATAGGCCTACATGTAGCCAAACTGATGTATTAATAAGCAGTTAGGCTTATTGCTTCAAATGGTAAAAGAGAGTGTTAATGACACATCTGTGCCCTGTGAAAGAGGCCCTTTTGTCAAATATAGGCCTATTTACAAAAGTTTTGTAAACATAATAACTCATAATAAATACTTGCCATTACATACATGTATCAGTTTCAGGAAAACCTAATGTTTGTTGCTGAGATGTTCCTCATGTTAAGATGAAACTCAACGCTTAAATCCCTCTGCGTAATGTTGTTCCACGTGACTGTGGGTGCAGGCTACGTCAGTCGTGCGTATATCTTGCACTTTCATTGACCCAACACTCCTATTTAAATCCTTGATTCAAAAGCGTTTGCAGCAAGAACGGCTCATTAGAAGAAAAAGGAGACAGTGGGATAAAAATAAACGGAGATTTGTGTTGAGTGCTGTGACTGAAAGCAAGGAATATGTGTTCAGGGCCATTCGGGATTTTACAACGAGTGGTCGTGCACTTAAAGGTGGCATAGTTTTATTTCCCTGCATGGAAAATAATTGACAATCAACAGTTTCACTTTCAACTGTTTGACTTTTCAACTGTTTTCAAAGTCTGTGCGTCAGTATCCATCAACAACGACAACAACATGAATGACACGTGTTTGTTTATTAAAGGGGCAGGTCTATTATAGGGTCAGGTGTTTTTTGGTTATAGTACATTCATTTTTATATTTATTTAGTGGGGTCGTTTGTCACACATTGTCTAATGATTGCTTCGATCTGTCCAAAAATATTATCTGTAGAACGAAAAAAATTAAATAGATTTTTTGTTTAAATGTGTACGAAACCAACATATATTAAAAGGTAGATTTTGGTAAATACAAATAATAATATAACCTATATCCTGGATGTGTCAGGGTCAATACACCCCGCCCTGGATCCAGGTTATTGTCGACACTAATTAATAAAATATGTTAAGGACACATTTTATTGTTTTAAATACAGGTTAAATCTGTTTACTTTTAGCTACACTGTAGCCGGGAATATGTGTTGGTATTTATCACATTGAATGGAAACGCAGGTCAGACAAGACCTCCTCTTTGTCCAGGGTTTTGAGGTCATAAAATATGCAATCCAATAAAATATGAAGAGAACTGAATTAAATATGAAACGAAACTGATTGAACCAAACATCTATAGTTCTGTATAGAAAAGGTACCGCCTGCAGGTACCAAAACTATATGGAACAGATATAAACTGAGTACATTTATATAATTTTAGCTATAAAAAGGGGAATTCAAAATGAGTATGAAAGGCAAATCTCGCCTTACATTAAATTATATTTAAAAGCGTGGAAATATAAAAGAAACAAAAATAATATGAAGTTCTGACATACAGCAGATGTAAAGGGAGAAAAATGAATGCGTAAAAAGAAGAATGTGGGCTGCTTCTGCTAGAGCATGGAAAATAAAAAAGTGAATGAAACGCAGTAATTTCATCAGTAAGTACCCCCGTAGTGTAATAAAATGTTATTTCAATCACAGGGGCAGTTATTCTTCAGGTTGTGGTTAGCCTAGAGGCCTAAGATACATAATGAAACATGCCTGAGAGGTCTCCATCTTCACGCACGGATTATGCCTTTGCGTAATGTGTCGCCAGGCAAGTTAGAGATGTTTTAAACCATCCAAATATTCAGATTTACATGTACAAAATGTTCTTACATGGCTTCACTAGAGGAGGGGAAATAAATAAATAACAGCTTACAATGTGATGGAAACATTTGCAGGCAGAGGAGGTGCACCAGCGGCATTACGCAGACCTGCTGACCTCTCGGTGACCCCGCCTCTGTGGAACAGCCGAGCATCAAGACTCGGCTTCAAAAACAAATCCTGACACTGCGGGTCTCACCTCTCCGTGTAATGTAGGCTACATTATGTTCAGAAAAAAACAGGCCCACATCCCGGTCCTTATACAGGCCACATTTCTCCCCTTTAACCGGCGATTGATTCAACACAGAAGCGATGATAGATCACTATATTTAACAAAGTTTATGAAAACATGCCGGCCACGGTCTCATGTGAAGAAATGCGCAATCTCATGTACACCAATAATCCTTAAACTGATATATTTCTAAATATATATAACCTGCTTTTTATATTTTTTCTGGAACTGACGACGAATCTGAAGAAGCAACAACAAATTAATCTGAATCCACGTTTAATTGTTTCCTTCTTTCTGCATTTTTTCTTCTCCTCCTCGCACATTCTGTGGCCTTCATAATAGTATTTATTTGGCGTTTTTATTTTTAACTTTAGCCTCATGGAAACGAGTTACGGTTCTTCTGTTTGGCACAGGACGACGCACGAGTTTACGTTCAATAAAGGATGCATCTGACCAGCCAGCAACAATAACATCCACAACATGCAGCCTATAAATGAGGACTGATAGGCCGACATATTGATTCTGCCCACAGCAACAACTACACAACGCTGCAAAAATACTGCACAAAAATACAAGTTGTTATTTTAGATTGCATCCTTTTTTTTTACGGATAGGATTTCTGAATGGATGGGAATCCTGTAACGTGCTGACTTTGTGTTATTAGTGAGCGTTACTTGGCCTGAATTCAAAATATATGTCACGTAGCTTAATAATTGTAGTATCTAATTTAGACTGATCCACTCGCTGGGTCTTTCCGTTTACGTGCTTAAGAATAACGTGAGCGTGCAGCATGTAACAGACATCTACTATCCAGTTTAATTTAACATAATTCAAACGTAAAATAAATACAAATTATTTCAGATGATTTAGATTTAAAATGTGACTCCAATAAAAATCATGTATTATTACAATAAAACTCTTTAATTATATATTATTAATTTGAACAAATGACCAAATTGTATCCCTATATTTTATTCTCTGACTGCAGTGATTTTATCTTAATTTGGTGGATTTTTAAAAAAGTCTTGCAGGAGGGCGTGGGCACTCATATTAAATAAAATATAATTCTGATGTTCATTAACATAACGTTGGCACACAAAGACATTCAGCTACGAGTAAACACACACTGTAACACACACACACACACACACACACACACACACACACACACACACACACACACACACACACACACACACACACACACACACACACACACACACACCGCTTCATAGTGGTTATCGATGGAGAGCTGTTCATGTTTTATTTATTATCATCAACTCCTTTGTTAATAATTCTACAGTAACAGCCTACGGGGGAATGTCCTCTGATTATAGTCAGAAAATGTCCCTCTGTTTGTATATCAATTATGATTCCCAACCTGTGTTAAAAAATAAAGATGTATTACATGCTTATAGCTATTGTTTTGATTGTTACATCTGACTAATTCCTTTTCAAACGAACACAAATAAGTCACATCATATACAGACTGTACCAAATAAGGTTTGTATACGTTTAATTGATTACATCATACACTGCAATTACTGATTTTATTTTGGGATTGATATACGGGTGTGGTGTTACAGTAATTTGGGTATGACGGAAGTGAAAGTCGCCCATTGTTACCACAGCAGGGGCTTTAGGGGTGTTGTATTCAAGCATCAGTCCAGACACTTTTACATTTAATATCTGCCTCATTTCAGTTCAGGATATTTTAGAGTAGCATTTTGACAATGCTTTAATTATCTAACAACTCCAGATTCAGGTTCATGTTTAACAGCACGTCTAGTCATTTTAATTATAGTATTATTGAGCCTATAATTACAGAAGGCCTGCATATTGTTGGGACAAGTGTGGACTTCCTGAAACCTCTACCAGTTTGTGAATTCGTTTTAAATGTTGCGTTCACGTACCTCTTACTAATATCCTCCGACAGTAGTCAGGGTCCACTCCCAAAAGTTTGTCGTGCCCGTCTTCGCTGGAGGACGTCGGGGTGGACGCTGAGGTCCCCGGGGTGTCGGTGGAGCTCTGAACCGGGGACCGGCTCCCTATCTCGGCGCGGCACTTCGTCTCCATCCGATCCAGCGGGTTGGGTCCACAGCGGTGGTTCCCATCGCCCATAGTGGTGGTCTGATCGAACATCTACAAGTAATAGTTTTACTCTCTGAAGATAATCTCTCCTTCTGTAGCTGCTCACCTCGTCTTTTACTTTCTTCTCCTCTTTGCAAGTGTTCTGCTTTGCATGCCCTCTTCTTCCTCCAAAAATTCAAAAGTAGATCCAGTTACAAGGAAACCATGCACTCCTGTTTGGGAGCCGGTGTGAGATTCAGGTGTCGCGGCATGACGCGCAGAGCAGTCCAAACCAGAGCAAGTGCTCTTACTATAATAGCCAGGAGAAATGCATGGCGCAACCAGATCTATGGAGGAGGTGCCACAAAAGAACACACACTGCTCAGCCACGTAGAAATAAAATGAGAGGAGGCGGTGCACCAAGAGAAGCGGTCACAGTTCACCGGGCACAGGAAAAGTTTCTCCCGGTGCGTCCCGAGCAGCCTGTTACTTCAGCCCCGGTAACATCCACTGCCTCTGCGGATCCGTGGGTGCATGTTGTTGGTGGTTAAATGGCCACATAGAAGGGGGTCTTCTGTCAACAAGAAAATATTTGTAGTGTTGAAACCCCTTCAGTATTCGGGACTCTTAGTACACATTTACGCACAAATAAAGTCAGCTTTAATCGTTGGTTTTACGCACGCTAACACCCTGCCAACACTACAGCAGAGATGTTAGTGTGTGGAGAATGTTTGTAGTGACACCGTAATACACTTTACAGAGGCAGGAACCTCTCACGTCACTTCCTGCCTACGCACTTCTCGTCGCTTATTGGCCCGCCGACTGGGCACGTTTTGACAAGACGATGAACGCGCTGCAGTTTGGGATCAGGCGCGAGGACATGAGACGATGGTGGTGCGCTTCCGATCCGGGGAAACATCCAAACACTGTTCTCACTTTCAGATGTTGTTTATTTATTTGTTTTAATGTTTGTTTTATGGAAGGACATGTGCAATCATACAGGGTCGCACTTGAGACAATAATCTTCCTTCCATTAGATTTTTTTCCTTAAAACTAACCATTCCAGGTTAAAAAATAAATAAATAAAACAGTGAAAATTAATAAAAATTAAACACATTTAAAATCATTACAATTAAATAAAAAGTTAAGACAGGTAAGTAAATACAAATATATATAAGTGGGTGAATAAAAAGAAGAAAGACAGGAACATATTAAAAGGTGTTGAAAATAAATAACATTGACTCATTTTCAGATGTCAGTTTTACAACCGAACTCTTAAGCTCTGTAAAACAATGGGAAAGCAAAGAAACGGCAAGTAAGTTCAAATCATATTTAAAATATCACACTTTTAGATCAATAATGGGACACACAATTCACAATGTTACAGATATTAAACATTACAAACTGAATTGAATTTATATATTTACATTGAACGCCATAATATAAGCCAAATCAATTCATATTGGAAGTAATTTCTAATATTATTTCTAAAAAGAAAAGTAGTTTAGTCCACTTTTAAAGTCGTATAAGGTACTTTTCTAAATGTGTTCTGAATTTCGAATGTTTTTCTTTCTCTAAATGCTTTTTCATAACACGATCAATATTTGTATTATTACAAAAATAAGTGTTTTTCAAAATTGCCGTTATTTGTAGCAGAAAATATCCAAATATTCAATATCATAAGGAAATATCACCTGTAATCTAAAAAAGATATCGGGCCTCTCGACTCATATTTATCACAACCTGTTATTATTTAGGGATGGATTACAATGATATTACATCCTGAACACGAGAGTTGAACAACGTGATGAGTCAACAGGTGTTTCTGTTATTTTGTCCAACCCCTCTCCAAACACCTCAAGTCTTGTTATATGAAATGTGGATGGCACCCTGCAGAATCTCCTGGATCAAAAAGAGCATTTAAGGAGAGGTTACTATCGGTTTTCCATCTCATTTACGATCCTTCACTATATATAGGCACACAGCCATCTTCCTTAACAGCAGCTATTTCCTGCTGCTGATGGAGCAGCCTGCAGTTTGTTGTGATTGTGAAATCATGTCAGCTGCAGGAGTGACTGACAACACCGGGTGGAGTTTCCTCCTTACAGGTGAAGCGTCTCTGAAAACACTGCAGAGGAGAGAACAGGAGGAGGAAGAAAAAAGGATTTTGAGCGGGATTATATAATTATAGTTTTGCCGTGTGTGTGTTTTTTCTTATTTTTCTTATCCACGGCCGTAATTACTGCATACAGCCATGGGTCGTTACTCCTTTCAGCTGGCCTAATCTCACACAGGATGAATAGAGACTGTCAATCAGACGCAGCACTCAGCAGCGAGACAAGAGGGACTGATTGCTGCGACACACACACACACACACACACACACACACACACACACACACACACACACAAGTTCCAGACAAATCTGTGAAGGAATGGAAAACATGTACTAGTCCACGGAAGTGTAATTTTATTGAAAGACAGATTTCACCTGATTTATACAACCCTGCTGCGATGTGCACTTTTCTAGATTTCGCACAAATTAAATGCATGTATGATTTAAAAAGCCTTTAAAACAAGCCGTAAAATCCCAAAAAAAGTTGTCGAACGTAAATGTTTTGGTTAAAATAAATGCGTGGATATGCGTTTGATCCAGAAAGCTGTGACAGATATTTCTTGGATCCTAGGGAGAGAAAAGGGATTCAGGTGCGTTAATAAAAAGACTCGGAAGGAGGAGGTCTAATGTAAATTACGCACGAGTTTTACGCAACACTTTCTGGAGTTCCTCATCGACTTCTGGATCAAATCTGTTTGGAGTCAAGTTAAGGTTTGGCCTCTTTTCTAAATATTTAAAACACATTTCCCTTTTTCTTTTCTTGTTTCTTCCTGTGTTGGTTTGTTAATCTCACTCTCAGGAGGTTGAAAACTTTATTCAACTTTTGTTTCCAAGCTGTTGAACTCAAAGTGTATACGTTGCTCTTTACAGGCAACATAATGGAATGTATTAAAGTATGTTTACTCAAGTAGGCCTACTTGTACTTTACTGGAGTATTTCCATTTAATGCTATACTTTGTATTCTACTCCGCTATTTTGGCAGCTAATATCTATACTTTTCAATACATTTATTAAACAAAAATACTTCACATGTTCAGATTATAATATAAAACAACATATACGCAAACTAAGTACTTTTGGTACACCTATTGTATATTTTTGATGCTATTATTTTTGTACTTTTACTAAAGTAGGATTTTCTATGCAGGACTTGACTGTAGTATTTCTACTTTGACTTTAGTGAGATATCTGAGTACTTCTTACACCTCTAAACGTATCTACTGGAGTAAATTACACAGTACCAATAAGATAACATATAAGGAAACTCAAAACGGTTGAATATGATTTCGTTAAACCAGTGGCTAAAATAAAAAGACCATCAAACTGCAGTATCTTTAACGAAGTGTAGGCCGTTTTAATAAATACATGAATAGAAAATGAATGCTTTGTATGAACTAAGTGCTACTAAAAAAGCTGCATGTTTTATAGTGTACAAGCTACATGCCAGTATCATTACAAACCTATTTACGGTTATATTTACGGACGTTGGTGACAACTTTCGTTAAATAACCAAGAAACCCGATATCTAATTTTATACATTTAAAACGGGAAATACTAGAGTAACTAAGAAAAATAAAAGGACTAACAAATTATATATGCCATGCACAATACTTAACTTGTGTACGTGTTGCATTAAAGGACCAAACCATAGATTATTTTTAAATAAAGGTTCAGGATTGATAATTGTAAACAAAGTGTTAAAGGTTATCTGTTTGGCCTATAGGTGACCAATATTTATTACCTATAAACATCGACTTCAAAAGCTTATATTTGATGTATATTCCCCATTCTACGACTATTAACAATAACTAAACAAGTGTTTTGCAGCCAAAGTAAAAGACTGCAACGATGCAACAAATACGATTTTAAAATACCTCACACACAAAGTGAAATTGATTTGACATGCTGTGCAAAGGGTGGAAAAAGAACCTAAAACGCCGAAGTAAAAAGCATGTCTTGTTCTTCTCTTGCAACACGGATCCCTCCGCAGATGTGCGTCAGTACCTCGTGTATAGAGCCGGTCTCGGCGGACTTTCAGCCGAGCCCCGGTTTGACTCGGGAGTCGGACTCGACCCGAGAGCCGGGATCCGAGCTGACCTCCGCAGGGTCTGCAAACTCCTGCTTTGTTTCTAAACACAACCACGTGCATCATTCAGGCAGCAAATAGTCGTTAATCTATTCTACTCTGTTTCTTTTTGCACTATTCTTATTTTGTTTTATGTCCTATAACTATAAGAGCTTGGGACTTAAGCTTTTCATTGCCATTTCTACCCTGAAGCTACTGTTCAGTGTTCATATGACATTAAAGCCTTTGAATCTTGAATCAAAAATAGTTAAATGTCAAATAGACTTTAATGTTCTCAATAATTAGAAAAGGCCTTTAGAGTTACTGATGATGTATACATTCAGTTTATTTGAGTGAATGGACAGTGCAAACTGCAGAGTTACTGCACATTTCTGCTCTTTTCTCAACCCAAACACATAAATAATTCATAGGTTGTTTTTCTATAGGCGTACTTACACATTTTCAAAAATAAAAAAAGATTGGTGTTACTGATGCGTAGCTGTGTTAAGTGTATCCGAGGGAAGAGACAGGGCACACACATGGTTAAAAAGCCAGGATCTGTCCCTGCAGGCTGAGACCTCCTAAAATAAATCAAAGCAAAATCAGAGCCGAGCTTAAACGTGTTAGACATAAAGAATAACACAAATAAGTCAAGCAGTAGCAGCAAGAAAGTTTAAATTGGTTACTGTAAGATCTATGTTAGTTGTCTGATCTGAATTGGAATAATATCCCCCTCTCTTGGTGAATGGCTGAAGGCACTTTTCCGCAACCAAATAACACCAATGGTTTTTTAAGTAAATGTGTTATACGACGACTGGAAGTGAGCCAGAGAAGAATCCTCACCTTGTTTTTGTAGGATACACTAATGTCAAAAGGGCCAATCTGAAAAAAAAGTAGATTGGAGGAAGAACACAAACTCAGTGATACTGCAAAGCTTTTTTCTACTGTGTAACGTGGACTTAAAAGGCAGCTGCTCCAACTAAACTGTGTCCTGTTCAACTGTTACATGTTTTTTAGTGAACGTTTGTTGTTGCTTTGTGTTATTTATTGGTCTGTAGGCAGTCCATGGTTCCTGCCAGTCCAACCATAAGGTCTACTGATTGTTCTGGTTTCTTTATCATCTTCTGAATTCATTGTATTTTGTAACAGGACGCTCCTAAGCAAACCTACATTCTAATGTTACATCAAATGTTGCTTTGTTTTCAAACGGCCCTTACCAATACAAAATGAAAAGTGCAATACATGCATATTAAAAGCAAATGCTCTGCACTCAAAATGTGTTTTGCAATGTGTAAAACCACAAAGAAGTCCAAAACGAATTTACACATTTAAGATATTGGAAGATAACATATACAAGGAAAACACATTTTAGTACATAAGACTTTTAATAAAACTAAAAAAAAGGATTTGGAGTGATCTTAAATATTATTTTAAGTTAATATTTAAGTGAACAATTCAGATTCAAACATACTAAAATAGAAAAGTAAATTACATATTTCTTACCTCACTCTAGTACAGGAACTTAGCAAACAGAAGGTCAATGACAATGAGGTTTTGCAGAGTTTTTAAGCTCTTGAATTACTTCTTTTTTTATTTTAAATGAGAACACGTTTAAATAGTTTTAATATGTAGACCAGTTCATCTTGTAATAAACCCAAATTAAAGAGCTTCACATTAATCAGAAATGTGTTTTAATATTATTATAATCTCTTCTGGAGCCACATGAGAGTATATTGTGTGAAGGTGAAGCGGTGCAGACTGCCACCAAGTGTTCCTGCCATGAACTGACACAAGCCGCAATAAGTGACACAACTCAAACTCATACACACCTTTTTTATTTATTTTCAACATTAGAAAATACACATCACACCCACAGAAGACAAACGGCTACATTCTTGGAACAGTGACCTATTTTCAGTTTTACATTAAAGCAAACATTATCAAGCAAACATCAAATACATGTATTTTATCTGAACTAAACCGACAGCTTGTGGTCGAATATGTAGAGAAGTTACACACAGAAACATTTCCTTTAAGGCCGATGTATTCAATATGGTGTAACAAAAACTGTTGATTCTCACAGAGGAAATGTTAGGATTTTGTAGGAAATTGGAGACGGCGGTGCAGCCAGATCACGGCACTAATGTAAATTAGGCAGAGCTGACAGGCAATTGAATGAATCTTCAATAGCTGTCAGCTCTGTGTGGTTCGTACTGTGATCAGACAGAAGCACCTGTTGGAGCAAAGCTGCTGGAAGATGGATTCAACACTGAAACGTCAACAAACAGGCAGCTGGTGCGAGTGTTTTTCCCGTGTGAGAGGATGTGATGGTAAAAACAACATCTGGGTTTTAAGGGAAATGACAGGACGGTACAATGAAAGGCACTTTGAGTGACATGAGTGTTCTGAAGGCTTTGTGGATGAATTCAAACAAAAGACAAAATAAATCCTTCACAAACTGCTGGAAAAATCCACCCACAAGCCTAAAACGCAAGATTATTTAAAATGGTGATTAATCTTACTATTATTTTCTTAATTAGTAGACAATTAGTTTGGCCTGTCCAACGAGCAAATTGCTGTCTTTAAACACCCCAGAACCCGGAGATATCAAAATTAAAAAGGTTTTTTGAATGGCTAAGGATAGATTTCTCATTGGATTTACACCTATTAACTGTTAATGCTGCTTTGGTTGAACATGTCTTTAATTGTGGGGAAGGTGGGGGGGGAAAACAACACCTTTTTAGCTAAACATTAAAGAAGTTTGATAGCAGGGTTCTTAAACATAAACACTAAACATCAGATTTTGGTGTAAATTTCAACAAAAAAAAGTCAAAACACTTCTTTCTTCATTAAAAACGTCACGTATATGTTTCATAATCATGCTCAATAGATGCCATATAGCTAACGCACGTTTTGAAGCGATATGCTGTTCTGTTTTTATTGGAGGAAAGCCTCTCTTTCTTGCTAATTACATTACATGTCTTTTTTTTTTTTTTTGCTAATGTTCACACATGTTGTTTGGGATTTCCTGGGATATGCAAGAAAATCAGTAACTTAAGTTGTCTCGGGGTAACGATATAGAGCAGTGTAAAAGCCCTGTAGTTGGATTTTAACTTTAAACTGAGAAATGTGACCACACTGAAGGAGTTTGTCCAATAAATAAAAAAGCCTTTAGATTGAAGGATCTTTACTTGATGGTCTGAAGTGCCCCCTTGTGGTGAAACAGAGACATTACAGACTCAGCTACCAAACTCTTGACGTATATTCCTTTGCTACAGGTCAATTTGAAGCTACTTTATGAATAAAAGAGCCCTTGTTTACTCCCTTACCTTTGAACACATTCAGTGTATATGTCAGGAGAAGAGGTGAAAAGGGATCTGATATCGGATTCAAAGAGCGCGGCTGCCCTCTAGAGGCTCAGTAAGGAAAGTACAACTGAATACATCAAGGTGACAAAAAGAGGATTGGGAGGAAACTGTGTTCAGATGTTGTTGATGTTGCAGTTGAGGAATGTTTTTGTGTGTAAAGGACGCACGTTTCCTCTGAATCCAACACTGAACACTGGGCTGCTTAACGTACTGTTTGGACATTGCGTGGCACTAAATCCTTTGTGCGTTTTCCTTTTTGCTGTATTTGTGTACACTTCTCTGACGGCAGGTATGTGTGTGTGTGTGTGTGTGTGTGTGTGTGTGTGTGTGTGTGTGTGTGTGTGTGTGTGTGTGTGTGTGTGTGTGTGTGTGTGTGTATATATGTGTGTGTACTTTGGATGGAAGTGGAGCCGGATCTTTAGTCGAATCCTTGCCAGTCGCTCTGTTCAGAGTCGTACTCCAACTCCACCCCGATGCAGCGCACCCCCTCCAGCAGCATGGGCGTACCGTGGTGACGATCTGTATTAGTGACACAGAGACATAAATTCACGTTAAGAAAGGTTTTTTTAAACACTTTTCAAACCATAATAGCAATGGGTGAAATACTTAATCAATCAATAGGTTTATGCCGTCTAAGGTAAGACCAATAAAGGTGATTTAAGTACATTTGTGGTACTTCTATAGTGGTATATTTTCTGTTTCTACTTGACCACATTTGAAGGCAAATGAGGCACATTTACTCTTACCAGGGTTCTTACACCTTTTCCAAAGTCAAATTCAAGCACTTTTCAAGCATTTTCAAGGTGCATTTTCCAGCTTTTCAAGCATCTTACAGCTGTTGTAAATTACATATTTATATACACATACTCAAATGATTATTTCTCTACCTCACATTAAATCAGATGTTCTTTATGCTATAAACAACCAAATGTCTGTTTCGTGATAGCCTTCTACACGAGGATGAAAAATTAAAGAAAAGAAAACTAAGTTTAATATTTCAAAATTAGTGATCTGTACGTAGACTGGGCATCCCATATAACCTGGCTGAGCCAATGTAAAACAATCAGCCAAATAAATAACCTTTCAATACATTATTGATTACTATTTTTGAGGTACTTTTAGGTTGGCAGTAAACATAAGTCAGAGGTAAATGGTGTACTTTTACTCCACTACAAGTATTTAATCCCTTTAGTTACTTTACAGATGTGGATGAATGATGTGAAATATAATCAAGTGTTAAATCAGACTTTAGTTCCACCTGGAGTAAATCCACAAGCTAAGCTGCAGTATACAAAGTCATTCAAACCAGCTGCACCTTCACCAGCTTTGAGAACACTTTCATGATCAATCATTATAAAACATATCATATATATTATTCTGAAATGGACCAATCTGCACAATGACTACTTTTACTGTCGCTACTTCAACTATATTTTGATGAGAATACTTTTCTACTTTCACTTGAGTAACATTTTGAATGCAGGACTTTTACTGTAACAGAGTATTCCTACACTCTGGTACTCTGGTACAAGATCTGAGTACTTCTAATTTTACTAAGTACAAGATCTGAGTACTTCTACTTTTACTAAGTACAAGATCTGAGTACTTCTACTTTTACTCAAGTACAATATCTGAGCACTTAGTCCACCTCTGGTAGTGAATTGTAGCCACAAAATCAAGCAGAGCTGCATAAAAATAGACTCACAATGGTAACAAGTGGAAAATAATATTTACAAATGTGGACAATGATTTGTAGGTAATTTTGACTACTCAAGACACCTGACAAATACATATTCAAAGGAAGACTGTGTTCATTCTACCATTACATGGGATTAAAGCAAAATGTAGTTTTACTTGTATAATACTTCAATTTTATATAAAAGACAGTTTGTTTTCATCTGTTTTCAAATAAACTAAGTATTGGCTTTCAGAATATTAAACTTGTTTCAGCAAATTCAGATGATAAATACAACTTTGAAGCTTGTAACGGCATAATTACAAGCAGAGAACGGAGTAATTTAACGTCACAGCAAGCATAACAACAGCCGGTGTTTCTTGTGAGTGTTTCCCCGGTACACAAACGCAAAAATACACAAACACACTCGCGAGCTTCCCCCAGACAATACAAACGAAATTGTGTCTTCGGGTCAATGTGACTGATTTCGATAGAGCAAGTCACATTTGGTTTAGGCACGAAACATACTACCAGTAGAAATTGCTTTCAAAATCACTCTGTGTCGAATCAATAGATTATATTTCGTGACTATAACACGAAATGCCGTGAGTGCTTCGTCCTCTGAACACCACACGATGGCGACTGTAACGCACATAACATAGGTACGCTCCTCTGAAATGATTGTCCCCTGCAATTATTATTATCCCTCAATCGAGTTCGCTATTAATCTAAAATGCTCTACTACGGCGTACCTTTCATGTGGCTCGTCAACGCAGACTCTCGCATCGTTATTTTTGCAAACTTTGCAGGAGGCTACTCATGGGCTTGACCCTCGTCTTAGCCATGGCTTGTATTTGTATTCTGCTAGCCAACGCTCGTTGAAACTGCAACCTCCTGGCACACTGTCATCTATCACTCTCATCAGAATGCCCAGGTCACACGTAACACAAACACTTGCAGGTCGCGCGCATAGCGCGGGAAGGCCGTAGCGGAGCTGTTTTATGTAGAAGCGAAGCAATTTTTTTCTTTTTATCTAAAAAGCGAACTATTCAGTCAGACAGAAATTTATTGTAAAAGTAAAGCATTTACATTTTCAAGCACTTTCTCAATTTCAAGCACCATTCCCAAAATTCAAGCACTTTCACAACCTTGAAAACACCACGTCAAATTTCAAGCATTTTCAAGGATTTCAAGCACCCGTACGAACCCTGTCTTACTTAGGAAGGTAGAAAGAAGGTCAAATCCTTGCTACTTTCTCAACTCTGCACAGATGTAAACACCAATACAATACCAATACACAATATGAATTGTGTGTAAATGTGTCATTGTTAACTTTGGAAAGTAACTGAAAATCACAGGCGGAGCCTAGACTCATCTGATTTTGTAAAAGGAGTGAGAGGAATAGGTTTCTGACGTCCATCTGTTGATGTACGCTGGTAGTCTCACATCTAGCCTGTTTTGCCTTAAAACTCATCAGAAGGAACGCTCACAGGACGCCATTGAAGGGACGCAAGAATGGGAATGATGTGTCCTTTTTTTCCTTGTGAAAGTTTTATGTAGGCATACAAAAAACTCTGGAGTAGAGCCACTGACTCTTGGCTGAGATGCAATTTAAGAGCCTGTTTCTCAAGGAGTGTGAGGCTTAAAACATGTGATTCTGACAGCAGATAGTAGTAATAAGGATCAGTCCCACTTTGCAGGAAGATAATCCATGTAGTGTGCACACCGAGAAGTGGAGAAGGAACTGACTGAGACGCTCGCTTTAGGGCAACCCTTCCCCCTCAACTCTGAAGTATCCGATTACATGGATAAGACCCTCCCCCAGTGGAGCACGTTACCCTCACGTCTGCTGCAGAGCACAACACAATAGACAATCACAGAAATCAGAACGGGAGATAAAACAGCTCCCTCTTTACTGCGACACACCGATTTACTGCTTCAGCTCTAAGTCATGGTGGTTATGGGCATGTCTGCGTTAAAATAAGAAATGTATGGTACATTTAACACGTCCACTGAAGCTATTTTTAACCACTCGGGTCGCAGGTTTCACAGTGGGATGTTTTAAAACCACAAATAAAATGAAAAAAATAAAAATAAGGTCTCTCTCTGTGATTGGTCGTGCTCGCTTATAAATATGTTTACTGTACTTACTGTAGCATGTAAGCATTGGTGGTTCAGTGGTAGAATTCTCGCCTGCCACGCGGGAGGCCCGGGTTCGATTCCCGGCCAATGCAACATCCTTTTTTCCCCGTTATTATGACCACGGTCCCGACCGGGAGCAATAGCAGCCGACACACATGGCATAGTTAATGTGAAAAAAAGACTTTTTAAATATTAGAGCTGCAACATACAGCTCATTTCACCATGAACTCATTATTTTCGCTAAATGTATTGTAAAAAAAAAAAAGAATGTGCCCCTTTAAAATGTTCATGAGCCCAAAGAGGCACCTTTAAAGTGCGTTTATTGAATCTACCACTGATTAAATAATTTAAAAAAATCCAAACCTTCAATTTGAGGACATAGTTTTTGCCCAAAAATGATTTATTAAGTAATAAACGATAATAAAAAAGATTGATTTCTTAACCGCTTCTTGTATCCCACCAAAGTTAGCACCAATACAGTATTGGTGTATTTCAACAACACTGAACGTAACCACCCCCCCCCCAATGTCATTACACTGTTATATCATCCTCATCCAGTCACTGATCTAAATGCAGGTTAGCAGCTAAGAGTAAAAGCAGGGGCAGAGCTTAATCCTTTGATTTGGTCGCCATCCAGACCTCAATTACACACATCTGGACGGATGTTCAGGCCACGGTTTGTGAGTACAAATAAACACCAAAGCCTCAAGAACACGTATGTATGCGTATAGGAACACACAATAGCTGTACTAAATGCACACCAGAATTAATGGTGACACACAAACGACCTATTTTCCTAATTCTCCATCTGCTGACACACATCGTCTGATTCAGTCTCAGTGGAATAAATGCACATTCATTGCAGGAGCTTATTGCCTCAGAGAGCTTCTTCGTTGACAAACACATAAACAAGAATGTCATTTTAATCTAAATAGTAACATTTCATATATCTATTTGAAAAAGGGGTGCTGGAGATTAACTTGATTTATTGACAAGTGCTGTTGAAGTGGTTTTGACTCGGAGTCACCAGCAGGAGGCAGTAGCACACAAATTAAAATAGTGTGAGCTCTGTTTCAAAGTTCTCACTTCAAAATTGAAATAAGAAACTACCAGATGCCAAAGTAAGTCTGTAAGTAAGTACGTTTTTAAAACATGATCCAATTATTGTCAAAGAAAATTGAAAGATTGGGTCAGGGATTAACATGTTAGTGTCAGGCAGAGGTGGGAAGTAGTGGAGTACTTTTACTTCTTACATTTTGAACACGAATACCTCTACTTTCTACTTCTTACATTTTCCAAACAGGCTGGTTCCTTTAGTTTGAATGTGTGTTTGGTGGCGTGATCATTATTATTTAGAGCCATTGCGTGCCTATTGATTTGAACACGATCCGCGTATCCATCATTTCCTGGTCTTCTCTGAAGAAGAGGGACCAATGAAAACGTTGTCATGTTGCCGTTGTTCAGCATGGAAACATTCATTAGCTAACAATGACATTATAGTTCTATTAATATAAAGGGAGGTCAGGTACTCTTTTGGGTACCTTTTACTTAAGCACATTTCGAAGCCCATACTTGTGAAAGTTATTATTATTACTATGAAGCTGTGCGTAACAATAAGTCCATAAATTGAACTTACTTTTTGTTTGTATCTTTGGGGTTTTGGATTATTGGTTGGACGAAACAAGCGGTGGAAAGATAATTTTAGATAATAATTGTGGCTAGTTTACTGTGAAACATAGAAAGGGCAGTTCAAAAACTGACATTGTAGTATCTGGTGTTTCCACTCAAGCTTTTTATATCCAATTTAAAGTTGTGCTACTTATTTCTGCAATGACAAAGTCTGTTTCTTTTTTAAACACATTTCTATCTCCGTTATGACCTTTCTTTTCGTTTTTAGCGGTTATGTGTAATTGCATTTGAATTGCCTTTGTGTCTGATTTGTCCCATAGAAATAAATGAACCTTAAACTTTAAACGTGAATGAGAACACACTTTCACTTCCCGAACGCTCAAAAGGATAACAAGAGCTAATCTACAAGCTGCAGGGTGTTGCAAAGATAATAACTTGTATGAGTAAAGCAGCCTCACCCATGACTCTGGCGTGAACTTTGACCTTAATGCAGACGTCCTGGTTGGTCTCGCTCAGCAGCAGCACCTCCTCACACAGAACGCCCTCCTGCTGCGCCATGTACTCACACGTCACCTTCAGACCTCCTGGGAACACACAGAGAGAGAAATACAAAGAGAGGTTGTTTTTATATCTCACATTTCATACCCCAAAGCCAACCGAAGGGCTTTCGTGAAAACACGAGTAAAAGTACAAGAAACAAATGATAAAAACAATAAAACGCCTGCAGAGTAAAACGATATAAAAACTGAAAAAGCACACGATAAAAACGGTAAAGAGAACCGAATAAAAGTGTATGAATACCTCTTCAAACTGGCTTTTAACGTGTTGTTTTATTGATTGATTTTAAAGTGATTTTTACTATAGCGCTTACAAAATAAATGTATTATATTATTAATACAGAAAAGTATGAATATATTAAACACAAGGACAATGTAAGCTGAGAGAGTGTAATCCACCAATCAATCAGCTTTATTTGGGACATGTGATCATACAGTATACAGAAATGTAACCCCACTGGTATAAAGGGTGTTACGGTAAAGTAGAAGCAAAGGTCAGTAAACTGCTTCAGTTTCATTTAGGGGGAACGAATCCAAGTAACATTAGACGATCACCTTTGGCACAAATCTGCAGGTTTAGTGACGCGGGGGGAAAGAACCCTTTCAGGTTAGTCGTACAATAGATGTTTAGAAGGTTTACCACCTCCGACAACAGGGATACAACACAAACAGGAAAGTGTCTGAAAGGGAGTTTAGTTTCTGTGATTCCTCAGAGACGGATTGCTGAGCTAACACTGTCTGTTCCTGTAATCCTCAGCCATCTGGTCCTGCACGCAGCTAAACATTATAATGGTGCAACAAAAGAGAATTACTTCACATCAGCTCTTCCTGCAACAAAGACAGGCTCATACTTAACTTATGGAACTCTGGATAAATGTTGTCTTGTATATACGACTCAGGGAAAAAAACCCTGCCTTGTTAAAGCTCCTAACTTTAAGACACCTTTTTAAAGGGTTCAACAAAAGAGTATTGTTTGCAGCTTGAATGAACATCAAGAAGGAGCAAACACATCTCAAAATGCAACATAATAAGATAATGTTTGCCAGAAGGCTGAGCAAATTGTCCACTAATTGTAAGATTGGTGGTTTCGAACCCAGGTTCCCGCACTCCGCATGTACGAGAGTAGTTCTGTAAGATACTGATCCCCAAATTGCTCATGTCTGTAAACATGTCACAGTAGAGAGAGGCACAATATATAAATATGAACCTTAAAATTAGCATAATATGTCCTCTTGAAGTGGTGGAAAGACTTAGAAGAAGCTACATAAATGCAAGTCCATATATGTTTACAAAATGTTGGATGATAAGATACAAAGATACGATATTTCTGCTGCCTTTGCTTCTTTCACTTGTCCTTTCTGATTGAAAAAGCTATGACTGTTGTTTGCCCTGGATTTAGCATTTAGGAAGTTGTATCTGTGCTGCCTGAGCGAAAGACTGCAGACACAACCAAGGGCTGAAAAAAGTTCCCCCAATTTTCAGGTAAAAAACGTTTGTATCCGTCTTAAATCGCTGAATTCCCTCTGACCCCAACTGTGAGCACAGTATACCTGCTTTCGTTAGCAGTTAATAATGTAGATACAAAAGGTTAAAAGGGTTGGAGACACCATGATTGGACCAGCAGACAAGGCTTCCTCTCTTCAGAAGATTCAAAAGGTTTAATGTGTTCTCATTATACTACTAACGTAAAACTAAGGTGTAAAAACACAGGTTCCTCAACAATGCAATTACAAGACATAAAACACATTTGAAAAAACAACAACAACACAAAAATGGTGCAAGCTCAGGCGTTAAGTAGTCTTAGTGGGATAAGACTTTAGTCCTGATGCTGAGGTACGGCTTATGAGACGGCAATATAGAGTTTAGTGTTTGTTAAGTTTGAATAGAATCCAAGGCGAGTCATTTGACTAGATTACTATATGTGATCAAACATTTAGCTATGGTATTAACTTAAGCATGTTTTCTTCTGTGTTCATAATGCTTTCTTTAAAATGTATACGGACACTGCCATGTTTATTTTATAGTTGTTCATCGTCCTCTAACCGCCTTACCCTCTGGTGCCGGTGTGATATCAGTGATCCGGAGGTGAGGACTGGGCACTGGCGCTGGACACACATCCTTCCCCAGAGCCGGGACATCGGGCAACGTGAACACTATTTCATACCGGTGCTGCGTCTTTAGGAAGCCGACCTGCAGAGAGGGAGTTAAAAGGGAAAGAGTTGGGATTAAGAGGAAAAACAATGGCCGTCTTTCACTCTCACTCAAACTTTGGGCTAATCCTCCTGTGACATACGGAGAGAGGGATTTATAGTGAGAGAAACAGGCCTCACAGTGCATAAAGTAAGTCCAATACGGCTCAATAAATAAAGGATTATTTTATATGAGGGAAATGGAAGTAATTCTCATAAGCACTGGCAGAGTTTTCCTTGAGGGAGTCCTCTAATTGAAATCATTTGTTATTGCTCTGGCGATCTTAATCCCCCTCACCTCTGCCAAATTGGCAATTCAAGCGCGAGCTCCAGGATTTCAATCAAGTCCAAAATCTTCCAATAATACTAATCTCGTGTGGGTAGATTTGGAAGTAATACAAGAGCTTAATCTTACTCATGGTCATACCTTCTACAGCAGTTTGGAGGATGACGCGCTCAAAAAGCTCTACAACCCAAAACATGGACCCCAAGGAAGGCAAAATTCTAAGTTGGCCGTAAGTTTTTTTTCAGATATTTCCAGATATTTTCCAGAAGAAGCACTTACCGTTAAACATTATATCCAGATTTAATCAAAAAATATTTAATTTAAAGGAATTTATGGTCACAAAAATGGAGAGATTTTAATTGATAAATTGATGCAAAGAAAAACGTTTGATTGATTAATTATTTATCCGGTCACAGCTTGAGGAAAGTGATTATGTTCTGCTTCTTTCTGATTTCTATTACTGACCTTTAAATATCCTTGGGTATTGGGACAACTGGTTGGAAAAAAATAATTCCCCATTGCATCTGGGAACTGATTAATTGAAGAAAACATCAACCAATAAATCAATATTGGCCCTATACAAGATTATCCATTAGGTTGTACGAGTGAAACCCAATAAATAAAGAAGAAATAACTGACGTAACCAAACACAACACTGGATGTTTCTCAATCTCGAGGACGCTTGCTTGGTAGCACATGTCTTCCGGCTTCAGAAAAGCGAGGCAAGAATACTTCCTGGCATTCGGAAAACGAAGAGTGGAACAGGCTAGCAAGTGTGCAGGTGTGAGTCATATGAGAGGCACCTCCTTACATTTTCCGCCACAGATTTGTAGTACCCCTCAATGCAGTGCGCAATGCCTCAATGAGCTCAATAATTATCATGTCTGTGGTTATTTAAACATTGCCTGATAAACGTCAATAAATGAGTTTTAATCCCAGTGTGTACAACATCACATGTCATTTAATTGTTTTCAAAACGTTAGCCACATGCTAATGCTAACCGGAAATGAAGAATTTTCAGAATAAAAGTGTTAAATTAATAGTTAGTGGGAACTTCCGTTTTTTTCAGAATAAAACTGCTTTAAATTAAAACCCTGTATTTAATTTAAATTACGTCATATCAACATTGATATTAATTTCTTACAGTAGGAGAGGTTTTGGGGTTTATGTTTGGGAGGGAGGAAGGAAGATTAGGATTAGGTAAAAAGGTAGGGAGTGGTTAGGGTTAGGATGGGGGGAAGGGAAGGGTTAGATTGAAGGGAGGGAAGAGAACTGCTACCCGGGAAACAGGATGCAACGCGTCATATGTGAAGCTCCGCCCACGTTGAGCTCCCGCCCACATTGAGCTCATTGAGGCATT